CTGGGGTAGAGGGTGAGGTGACCAGTCGTGTGAAGGCCCTGGGGTAGTACTGATCTTGCCACCTGGCTGGAGCAAAGGGCAGGGAAGTAGAAGGCAGAAGCAGGAAAGCTTCGAGCTGGGCTCCGTGGGCTTTCACCCCAAGGGAGGTGGGAGCCACAGAGCTGTGGGCAGGAGGGATGAGACTAGGGGTTGGAGTCAGGTGCCCAGGACGGGGGACACAGGCTGGTCCAGATAGAGGCAGGGAAGGTGGATTCTGGGTAGAATTCTAAAGTCCCAGTGAGTTTTCCGGGGACTGGTTATTATGGATATTGGGCTAGGAAAGTCCAGTGCCAACATCTAGGCCCCCTGAAGGTGAGCACTCAAGGGGTGTCCTTGAGCACCAACCCCAGTGGTTCCGGAACTCGCTGTCACTACATCCTCCATCGCCACCAAGATGCAGCCACCCTTGGGGAACAGACACGGGGACGGATCGCGTCAGCGGCTCCTGCAGCTGGGATGTTGGGGGGGAATTTTTGTTTTTTCAAAATAACTTTTCTTCTAATTATGAAACAGTCCCGTGCAGGAAAAAAAATCCGCAGACATCCGCAGAAAAGGGGAAAATAAAAGTTACCCAGAATGCACAGGGCCAGGGCAGGAACAGCGTACTGGACTGTGACTATTCATTCAGTCTTTCCTGGGAACACAAACTGAGAACCTACTATGTGCGGGGTTGCTGGGGACAGGGTGGAGGTTGGGCCTGGAGCGGCCCCAGCACAGGTAGGAGATGAGGCTCTGGAGTCGGGTGACACTGGGTCCCCTCGGCCGGGTGAAGTCACAACCCACAGGAGGAACAGCACTCCAGTCTGAAGGAACAAGCCACCTCCGTCCAGGCCTATGTCTGTGCTAGGTTATGTCCTATTAACTATGTACCCCAGGCTGGTTCAGAACTTGCAGCAATACTCCTGCCTCAGGGGCTGGAGAGATGACTCAGAGGTTAAGAGCACTGCCTGTTCTTCCAAAGGTACTGAGTTCAATTCCCAGTAACCACATGGTGTCTCACAACCACCTGTAATGGGGTCTGGTGCCCTCTTCTGGCCTGCAGGCATATACACAGACAGAATATTGTATACATAATAAATAAATATTTACAAAATATTCCTGCCTCAGCTTTTTACAAGTATTGAGATGACAGATCTCAACCACATTGGGGTTTACCTTCCTGAGACCACGTGGTGGCATGTGTCCCCCCGGGTATAGCAGAGGGCCCCCCATGATACACACGGCCAGGTTCACTATGAAGTTCCAGGACATCTGATGATGGGGTGACCCGTGTGACTCTGCTTCTGAATGGGGTTCGCAGACAACACTGCCCCTTGTGGCTGGGCAGGACCCGACCCATCAACACCCAACACCCAACACCCAGCACCACACCTTGAAAGCAGTGGCTTCCAAGGAACCGCATGGTTGGTAGGGCTTCGTCCTAGAATGTGTGACCTGGGGCAGGAGCATGTGCCAACAGGCTGGGGAGCCCACCCCACCCATGCTCACAGCCTACGGGCACAATTGCTGCTCGTCAGCAATTGTTACCTGCAAGGTTCGCCCACCCGTGGGCATCACGGGTTTCTTTCCTTTGGGATAAATCCAAAAGGCTTTCAGGTTTGGTTAGGTGCAGTGACGCTGTTCCTCCCTGCCTGCCTGTTCCCTCTCTGCTCCTCCCTTTTTCCTTCCTCTCTGCTCTTCCTGCCTTCCTCCTCCTCTGCTCCTCCCTGCCTACCTCTTCCTTCTCTGCTCCTTCCTGCTTCCTCCCTCTCTGCTCCTCCCTGCTTTTTTCCTTCTGCTTCTCCCTGATCCTTCCTGCCTCCTTCCTCCCTCTTTGCTCCTCCCTGCCTTCCTCCTCCTCCTCTGCTTCTCCCCGCCTCCCTCCGTCCCCCTT